TCATGCAACGCTTCCAGGAATTTATTTTCTCCCATAATGGCACTAATCATCCGTAAGATAGAAGCACCTAAGATAAAAAAAACATTATTTTTACAATAGTAAAAGGGGTTAGCATAACTTTCATATCAATTAATTAATTATTATTTACACCCCAAATATTTATATTTTTACCCAAAATATGTTATTACAAGTAGAGAAATCTACAGATATATCGGTAGATATTATTTGTGCAAGAAGGTTTTGTGAAACCTGGTGTCAAAACACTACAATTTACATATAATTAAATATATTTATATTGTACCTTAATGGAAAAAATAATATCAGCAATAATAACAATAATAATACATGTTTATTGCAAATAAATAGTCATTTTAAAATATAAACACGTTATTTTCTAACTATACTTGAACAATATTAATTCTAATGTATTAAAATACAGTATCCATAAACATTTAAAGCATTAACCACATTGTTTTCTACCTACTCTAAAATTAACAATACTTCATCCTACTTCAATTCTTTCTCTATCTATATTCCACTCCTCTTCAGAAAATACACCTCTTCAGGAAGCACAACATTAATTATAATTATAAAATGAATGCAATTGTAAACGAAGTAACTATTAGTAACTGTTTAATAAATCCTAAGCTACAATTTATGACATGTCTTATTATTAAATTATTTATTTTTGAAGGTCTAAAGGAAAGTATGTAATTCGCAGTCAACTTATCAACGCTCGTTATAGCAGTGTTTGTAAAGTAAAATGGAAATAAGAGCAGTTTGTTTGATTTTAGTTAGTCGGATATTACTTATGAAGACGTGTTGTAATGCTGCAGCAAAAAGTGAGGATATTTGAACAAAATCTCGTGTTATTGGTTTTTGATACATAAAAAGTGCTCACATATGTAGTAAATTACTTGCTCTAATAAGTTATACAGTCAGATTCCTTGTTTTATGAGTCCTTGATATAGAAAAATTGTTTTACGAAAAATGTATCATCTCTCTATGAACTACACTAGCGCCTATACCGTTCACAGGATTTTAACAAAACTGATTTTGCCCGATAGATGTTGATAATATAATTTCCTGGATCTAGAGCTTGCAACGGTTGATTTCATTTTCAAGGGTCCTGAACATTAAGTTTCATCAACATTTTCACAATTTCTCAAAAAATAGCTTCAAATTGATTTTTTTATTATTTTCTCGAATATAGCAGAGTATGTTTCAAAACTGTCGCAGCACTGTTTGTTGTTGAACTCAATAAATTTACGGAAACTGAAAATATATAAAAAAAATACACCCCATTTACTTTGTAGTTTACTCTTATCAAAGATTTCTGGAATTTACATTTGTTTACTAATAATGTAAAACCAGTGAAACAAAAGCACAATAATTACTTTGATCAGTAAATGGCTATGTAAACTTTTAATTCCGCAATTTCTGTCCAAAATAACATATCTCAGCCATCACTTAAAAAATTATTACTGGGGATCGGTTATTTATGTAATTGGTTATTTATGCAATTGGTGCATATTTCTTCTGCTTAGTCGCAGAAATGCGGATTTCGATTTTCTTTCAGAATAGATGTTTTTAGATGCTTATTTCGAGGTTACATTTTGCATATTTGAGCTACACTGCATAATATTTCATTTCCAGGGATACACTAGATTACGTTGCATATTTTTTCCAATCAATAATGTATAAAATTGCAGGTGCATATATTTTGCCTACTTACATTTTACTACACATTTTTGTATATTATATTTCTTTTTTACATATTTTCCCCATTTACCCTCACACATTTTA